CCCCATCCCCTCCCCCTCCCCCCACCCCCCCTAAAAAAGGAGGAAAGTGAGACACAATGACGAAGAAAAAGAAAGGACTGAAATATGAAAGATGATAACTAAGGTCTTTAATGATGTGCAGGTGGAGCAAGTTAGTGACAGCAGGTCTTGGAAGAAAGAACTAAATACCAAAACTAAACAATGTCAGGCTCTTAGAGCAAGGGCAGCAAGCTCTGAAGTTCACTCTCAAGGCTGACGTGGCCATGGAAAACAGAGAACCCCCCTCCAGCAACTCCTAGCCGCTCCCAGCCCGGCTCCTTAGGCTGACGTGGCGTTGGTGAGCTTCCGAGCTCCCAAGCGCTCCACAAATTTGTGGAGCGCTTGGAGCTCCCAACTAGTGAAGAATTTAACAACCCCCCCCCCCTGAAGTTATTGATTGCAGTTTTGACAAAAAACAGTGAAATCTGCCCAAAATTGAAGCAAAAAAATCCGACCTTTTGTGTGCAGCGGAGGCTTGGACTGGATTCGAGCAAGGGCGATCGGCGGCGGCGGAGGTTGCGGGAGACGGTTTGATTCGACGGCGGGTTTGATTCGAGCAAGGGCGATGACGAGGCCTGGACTGGATTCGAGCAAGGGGGCGACGGAGATGAAGAGGACTCGGTTGGGGCGACGGAGATGAAGAAGACTCGGTTGGGGAGATGAAGATTTGGGGCGACGGAGATGAAGAAGACTCGATTGGGGAGATGAAGAAGACTCGGTTGGGGAGATGAAGAGTTTTTGTGTAAATTTTTTTTAATTGGTTGCACAAGATTCCATAAATGAGCCACCAGAGTTAAAAATTAACGTTGAGTGAAAATATAATTAATTGGCTGCACAAGAACTAAAATACAAGATGTTTAAATTTAATTAAATGTAATGGGTAAAATATTAAAATAGAAGAGGGGTTTTTTTGATATTGTTGGAGCTCCTAACTAGGAGCTTGTTGGAGCTCCATAAAATAAGGAGATGCTCCCAAGGCTTATTTTTATAATTTTTTATACCAAAATGCTTAAGAGCTCTTGAGAGCTTGCTGACTAGGACTCCCAACTGAGAGCTTGCTGGACTTGCTCTTATAGATAACAAATGGGGCAATAATGAATCTCTGTAATTATATCCCACAATCTTATGAAAAGAGTACCATAACAACATTAACTTATTTTCTTCTACATGCATAAAGTGAAAAGATGAACTGTCACTGAATTTGGAAATAATTTAGTATCTTAATCTGAAATGAAGCGTGATGAGTTGATGCTTAAAGATTCCATGTAGAATATGAAGTGTTCGGTTTGCGGGCAGAGGAGAGTAACTGTAAAGAAGAGTGATACAAGATCAAACATAAAGAATATAATAAGATTATCCAACGATAGATGCAGGTAATGGAGAGGAAAACTGCAATAAGGGACCTGTGGATTCAAGTGGCCTTTGCAAATATGACATTTAGGCTATGAGGCGTAATAACATCAGAACTATGCTAAGCCCATGGCAGAAAGCAAGCAGCTACGGAATAAACAGAGGCCACTGTAGAGAAATAGAGAAGGTCAAAATCATTATTCACCCTAATCTCTCTTAAATAGAGATTAAGAGGATATTACAAAATAGGTATTGAGATAAAATCATATCTAATCACATCTCGTAATATCTCAATAATATCTCATAATATCTATCTGATCTAAATACCAATAATATCTAACACTCCCCCCTCAAGCCGGAGCATATATACTATATACGTCTAGCTTCTTACAATGAAAATAAAACGACTAGTTGCAAGATGCCCGAAATACTTGAAGACGTCAGGAATCAAAAATTATAGTCATAGCCAAAAGAAACCAGGGTAAGTCAAAAGAAATCCTAGGCAGGTAAAGCAATAGAAATCATAGGTGGGTACGCCAGTTGAAACCTAAGCAGGTAAGCCAGTAGAAACCCTAAACAGGTTAGCTAGTAGAAACCAAGGCAAATCAGCCAGTAGAAATCCTAGACGAATCAACCAGTACAAGCAACAAGAAAAAGGAACACATGATTGATCCGTTGTTTGTTCACTCAATCTTGCTTTTGACGTCCTTTGACGGGAAAGATAATAAAACCAATGCACCTTGCTAAAATGAGAATATTGAAGTTCTAATTGAAGAAGGTTCGGACGATGAAGGCGTTCACCAGGAAGGTGGTCGGGGAGTGCTATTCACAGTGAACAATACTGTAGGCACTATTTATGAACAATACCAAGGTGGAAGTTTTTTGGCTAGGTTTTATTTGTGGCTAGGGTTTTTCTAATTTCCACTGCTTTGATGCCATATAGAGAAATAGAGAAGGCAAAGGTCATTATTCATCTAACCATAGCCTCTCTTAAATAGAGGAAGATATTATAAAATAGGTATGAGATAAAATCATATCTAATCACATCTCACAATAACTCATATTATCTACTTGATCTAAATACTAATAATATCTAACAACCACTAATGAAGGTGACCTAACTCTCTATGGCCTATAAAATTGTACATCTTCCAAGTTTCACTTTAAACCCAAGCCCGTGACAACGCCCCACAACCCCTTCTCCACCCCATACCACCCCCTCCCACCCCACCTAAAAATATACTGCATGCTCGCACACCAGCACATACAAAAGAGAGAAAAAAGAAAGAAAGAAGAGGATGAACAAAATCATGAAAGCAAACTTATGTGTTGGTCTAGGTTCATCTTCTGTTAAGGAAGCCTCCTGTATTAATGTAGCAAAGCCTTTTTTACAGTGTCATTTCATTTTTCTGAGGTCTAAACCTAGTCATGGATACTACATTAATTATGATCCTCTTATAGCCACTGGCATGCCTGGTTTGTCTTGAAAATATACGAGATAAACCAAGTATCCGCCCTAATCTAGTCTCAGTTGAGGCAGCCACTCCATCAATCAATCAATGACCTGTTTCTTATCCTATCGTTTAGCAAATTGTCAGTATGACAAGTTTTGGACATGCTCATGCTGAATGCCTGCTATCATCATGCTAATTCTAAAACCTCAACTATGCTGATTTAGCTGAATTAGGTAATATTTTCAAAACTTCGGATAATGGCGAATGATTGATCCTATATCATGAAAACAATTACTCTGCTGATCAGTCCAAAAAACCGCCCTTTGGTTCATCTAGTACGATTATCAAATTCACAGTTCTTAAGTTTCGTGTTCATCATTAAAAGGATAGGTGCTGAATCTGCTGATCAGTAAAACAAAACACCCTTTGGTTCGTCTTGTATGATTATCAAATTCACATTTCATAAGTTTCGTGTTAATCATTAAAAAATAGGCCTTATGGCCTCCTCTAGCATAAGTTGCACGTAAAGGATAACTGTACTTTTTGGCAGGCATAAGATAACGCGTGAAAGCATGTAGCAGGAAGAGCCAATGAGTTGCTTCATAAACAGCATAGTTTAGAGAAGAGTTTCACCTTCGCATAGAAGGAAGCTGCCCTGTAAAAGTCCTTTGCACAAAAAGCAGCATCAGCCTGCAAGGGACAAAGTCACATCAAATGTAGGCAACAAATTATGGATTGAAACTTACTGTAAAACAGATGTAAATGATACTACAGAATCAACTAGTACCACCATAAATACTCTAAAAATTTTCAAGTGGCAGAATCAAACAGGTGTTGCACATTACTTGTACTAAATACACTTGGTCTCTCTGGAACGGATTGCGGCAATGGGCTAAAGCAGCAGCATATTCCTTCATGTCTAAATACACTTGCCACATGTCACGGCCTTCATCATGCACAGAAACCTAAGGTACAAGTAACATTAAAGGGGACCTATGGAATAACAGATGCAGCAACTAAAATGAGAGCTTGGTATAAATGGAACTGACCTGGAAGATAGAACTTTCATCATATGCGAAAAAAACTCCAGCAGTGGCATCACTGCACAGTCCAATTATACCATTTGAAACAGAGTCTGATGCATGATTAAATTTGAGCTCCTCTACAATTTGTTGACTAATTCTGTTGAGAACCTGTTAATAATGTGTAAACATTTTGGTCATGTGTATCTAAAATAATAACAAACTCCCTCATTAATAGGGATACGATATGAACATAGAAAATATTATAATTATGATCCCATGGGAAGAGGTAAATACAACAGACTAAAGCAGAAGACATTTATAACAGTTAGGCATATCCTAATATTCAATGTGATTGAAGATATTGTTTTTTGCTCTATGTATAAACAGATTTGAAAACTAACTAATTGGCCACAACCAATAAGTCAGTCTAATTTGCATCATAGGAGGCCCTAAGAAATCTAGCACCCAACATGAAGGACTACTGCATTGAGAATCAAATATTAACAAGTAGTTGACTGTGAAACTATCCTTCTTGTTGTTGTCGTTGTTGTTGTTGTATTAATTCCAGTGCTCATAAAGAACTGCAATTTTCTGGTATCCAAGAATTTGTACCTTAACCTTGTTTCCCATTAGAAGCAGATAATGAAACTCGGAGACTGCGAGAGATCTTGGTTTAACGCAATCACCCAACTTGGAGTAGTCCAGGAGGCCCTTGTTTTCAACAAAATTCTCATCCCCACTGGTTGAACTGCTCAAGAAAAACCAAACAGATAAAGCTTTTGAGCGCAATAGCTTAAACTCCCAGACAAATATAGGTACGATGAGAAACCAAACGCAAGGACATTACACAATATATGCACTAAAAAACAAGTTAAAAGAGACAGTACCTATGTTGTGCTCCAAAATTTAGATCACCGTGATATATCCCAGCACCAGACAACCAGGCAAAATATTTGGCCCTTCTTTGATGAATAAAAAAATGTAGTTCACTGCAAATCATGTGTGAAATACATCAGATCATTATGTAACAGGTACTCTCTTGGTATTGACTTCAAAAGAATATAAAACAACGTACAGAATTCTAAAAGGTTGTAAGCTTAAAGTATACGAGGGAAAAAAATATAATCAAGGGAATGGACCAAGCCACAAAACCATGTAACAAGAAAAAACAAAAATATTTTTTCCTCCCCTTGACATTACAAAAATGGAATAGTGGAGCATACACCATCTGTTAAGTTTCTATCAACAAATAGACTATCAAGTCCAGCAAAAACTGTGAGATGGCAACCGAGCGCCACCTGAGAGCAATTTAATTGGCAAAGCCCAGAAATCCATTTTCAAAAAATTGTGCTGTTTAATGTGATGAGTAAAGTGGAAACATTCTCCACTTCCAAACACCAAGGCATAGATAAATTCATTAATCATAAGGCCCAACTCTCTTGAGATCATAATGGTGGGGAACGTAGAAAACCTGTAATATCATAGCAAAGTCAATATGCAGATTAATGTTGGATGATACACCATCTCTTCTCCATATAATCAAGCTCCATTTTGTTAACCACTTCTAACTTCAGATCAGAAGTATAAGGAGAAAAACCCAACATCCCTTGTTTCAATCCTTGAACCAAGAACGCTTTAGAATTATTTCATCTAAACCTTAATCAACATATATACATTTCACCAAAGTAGTCCTATAGGTGCATCCAACATACTTCTTTTCACCAAACCAACACAATTGTTCTTCACTCATCTACACTAATTCGCCAATAAAGAATAGAAGATAAGATAGTGGGGTCTGGTGTCAATTTCCATTATTACCCTGTTTCCTCTAATGTTTTTCCAGCTTCCTTGTCAATGAAAGAATATCGACTGGCTTAGAGAAGTTAGTTACTTACCTACAAATTTTCTCTTCATTAAACTACTGAAACATTGGGATGGAAAATGATAGGACTATGAGAAACAAAGAAAAAGAGTGCCCACATAGAGAGACATGTTCTTAGATGTTTCTTTCTCGAAGCTGTAGCAGAAGCTACAATAGACAAAGGGAAGTACAATCTGTGAAGAAACATCTATCGCCCGAAGCTTCTGTTTCTACAGAACTTGAATGGTGATAGTATACAATATATGAGCTTTATTCTCCAATACTAAAGGGCTAAGGATTACACGAGGATACCATATAATCATTGCCGTTCTCATTCAACACATTCATTTTAGACTAACTAGAATGCTTTCTCTTCTTCTCTACCAACCTCATCCATCCCAAAATAAGCTATCACCCAAACAAATACCCTGGCCAATCCCGCCAAATAATAGAAGAAAAACATCAAACATGTCAGTGTATATTTATGTGTCCGTGTAACAACAACAACAAAAGACCATGCCCTCTCTGAAAGTTGATACGAAAAACAATACTTGCCTATTTGGTATTTCTCCAGGAAGCTCCATGAAATGTACTGCACGATCTGAATAACTAGCAAACACCGTCTGCAAAAGTCTTAAAGAGTGTCAGGAACATATTATCCAAAGAACATTGCTTTCATAATCTTATAGTCTTGCTAAATCAAGAGATAACCTCATGATCCAATAACTTTTATGCCTCATTAAAATTATAGCTGTCAAAATATATATATATATATATATATAATAGACAATTCTGTGAAACTTAGACGCAAATCAAAACAAATAAAGGCTTTATTCCCCGTCATGTTCTCTTACATGGAATACATGTAAAACAGGGCAAAATTAGATTTTTGCTCATCTTCATCTTGTAAATTCTTCAAGGATCACCTACAAATTCTAGAAACCAGATGATTAACTTGAAGATATGTGATTTATTACATTTTCGAAAGTTTTTCTCAAATATGACAAAGACTGACAACTGCCATTGTGGGATAAATGAAGCATGTTCAAGTTATAGTTTGCCTTATCCCGACTAGATCTGAAATTTTTGTTTTTTGCTGCAGCTTGCATCTTGAGAGAACTGATTATATGAACATATGGGAGATGCAAAAGGAACATATTATGATTGCATTCACATTTCATAAACTAAACACAATGTACTGTGATTTCGTCAAACAATCAGCAACGAGATGAATGAAATTGCCGGAATTGCAGCTGTATGGTTGAGAGAGAGAACCAGTATATTCTTAAATAACAAGCCGATAAAATTATCTACACTAGTATCTTGTATCAGCCCCATATAAAACCCTATACCTCTTCAGTAGTTCAGCAAATCAAATTTAATATACTACATTGACCAAGGGAAGTTTGCAGGAGAATAAAGTGCAGGACTCATGAAGAATGAAGATGTTACCTCCAATGAACCAATGCCTGTGAAGGAGTATAATCTTGTTGGTGTGACCGCCATCACATAATACCTAGTAGAACTAATTACAGCAGCAGTTTCCATCTGAAATACATGCATAAATAAACTGATGTTACTATCAACAAAATAAATCGTGGGTAAATAGGTAAGAAAAGAGACCATATTAAAATCAGCAATTCTGTCTCACCTGCAAGCCCATAATAGCTTCTGGGAGCTCTGTTAGCTCAAACAGCAACTTAACATACTTTTCCTTCTTATCTGCCTCATCAACTGCCATCTCGTATATTTCTCCATTCTCCGTACCAAGGATGACTTCCCGAGTTGAAGCTAAATCCAAAGAAATAGATAAAAATGGCTAAGATACACTAGAACAATGATCCGACTATTAAAGATACAGTCCCACTAGTCCCTACTCCCTAATTATGAAATATTTAATATTCCTCTTTTACTATCCAGATGATTCTCAAAGTACTCTTGAATGATCAATTTGTTCACAATTTTATGAATGCTGCAAAGTTTTCAAAAATATTTATTACATTTCTACAGTTATTTAGTTAAGCCTTCAAAACAGCATATAAGATGCTTGAAGAATATTGATCTATGTTCGTAGTGGTGTCCATGTCAAGTGTCAAATTTTGTTGTTTTGGAGTTATCATGCTTCATTGCGGGTAATCTAGAGCTCAGAAATTGCAGCATCATTCATTTTCCAGACGTGCCAATGTATTATTTAATGACTATGTAAGTACTTAGTTCAGGATTGAAGTTTCCTACTAAATAGGAGAATGGATATCAATAGAGTTGAATGGAGAAAAAGAATTTAAGTAGCAAAACAAGGTGCTTTCAGATAGAACTTAAATGTTTATGTTGTTTGGACATGTTTATGACTTAAGATAGTTATAGTATTATAAACTATTATGCCACTGGTTGAGTAAGTGGATAACATCTATGGATCAGAAATTGTTTCCCAGATGAAGTCATTGTTCATTTTCCCAGAAAGATCCAGAAATTGTTTCCCAGATGAAGTCATTGTTCATTTTCCCAGAAAATGAAAGGGAAGTCCATGTTTTTATATAAAGTTGAGTATTTTTTTATCTTTTTCATTCCTTTTATTTGGAAACTTTGCAGAAGACTTCCTGGTCCTTGAAATGAACTGGCAGTTTACTAATTTACTACCATTGTGCCTGAAGTTCAGGAACCAAACTTACATATAATCCGAGGGGGCCTAGATAGATAATATCGATAAAATCAAATAAATATTCATATGCCCTCCAACATTTAGGTGAGTGCAGCTGAGGTATAGAAAACTCTCACAGTGAAGATAGATAGATATAGGCATTTTGACTTCCCATGTTGACACAATTAGCTTCTTAGTCACTGTCTTACAGTGGAATGCATACTATGCATCCTATGGGTAGTATCATAAAAGCTTACATTTATCCATTCGATACTTTACATTATTCGTTGTATAACTCAAAGTTCTTTCTTCTAATACTTCCTTAAATGTAAGCTCCAAAATGTATAATTGACAACCAGAAGGAAGGATATTTGGGACTTAACTCATATAAATCAATGAACTGTTGGGATTATTTTGTACATATTGCACACGACTCACTGAAGTTGGGTTATTCGGTCCAGCACCTCTATATGTATGTACCAATAGATAAAACTAGTGCTAGTGATTGATTAGAGTGAGAATGGTCATTGAAATGTGAGAGTGAGGGTTAGCGAATAAAAAGATCAATAATTTATTAAATAAGCAGGTTCTTACTCATAGATGATTTTTCCTGTAGGTGCCCGGTGGACATAGGCTAAAATGGTTGTTTTGTTTGAACCATGTTATATTAGTGGGCTTTATGTAGGGCACCTAGAAGAACTAGCCTCTATGAAGCTAGCTATTATAAGGAGGGAGGGAACCGAATCTCTTATAAACCCAGAATTAGCTCAGCATCTAGTCAAATTGGGACTACATGGGCCCGAAAATATCATCACACTTCCACAGTCCCAGCACCCAAGCAGACTGATTTTGCACTAGCCTAATCCAAATCAAACATTGAATCTCAATATCACCCTTTGGCATTGCACGGGAACACTGTGCTATATATGCTCTTAACTTGTAACCGGGAACATGAGGTTGGCTCTGATAGCACGAGAGAGAGAGAGAGAGAGAGAGAGAGAGAGAAAGAGACTAGCTCCTAAAGCGAGCTGATTCAGCTATGTAACACAAATCCCCGCAATTAACTCGCTATTTAGTTAAAGTGGGACAAAATGGACCTAAAAGTTTTTGCTTGATGGTTTCTCTCGTGTGCTTATGTGATTGAAAAGGGTCTCTATCTCTAACATGAACTTCAAAAACTACTCAATTGCATACCATAAAAACGCCAAGACTTAATCCTCATCAATCTGTTGCATGCATAAACGCCAAGGAAAAGACAAGAACCCACCTTCAGTGATCTGCTGCCGATTCCAAGCAACAGCATTGACAACTAACCCCTTCAACCTCGTCAAAATCCTCGGCTTAGCCCATTTAGCATGCGTATAGTAACTCTCAGCACCCCCACTCCCAACCACAGTAACAATACAATGACTCCCCCCAGGATCAAGAAAAACCCTATGCACTTGCTGATCACCGCCTCGGCCACCGGACAAATCAAGATCTGCCCACAAATCAAAAAAATAATTTACAAATAAATAAAAATCTAAATCCCTAGAGTGACTCGACTTCCATCATCCCACATAGCTTCTATCATCCCACATGGCATCCGTCATAGAATTTCTCCAAGCTCCTACAGCTGCTCGTTGAGTCTGTAACTCGTCTTCTTTGTTGGAGTCATCGTCTGCATCAGCAACATTTCATGGAGCTTCTAGTGGAGGATCATAAATGTCGAAGTTCAAATCTCATAACATCATAAAGAAAGAAAAATAAGCATTTTTCAGCCATTAACCCTTTGGACCAATCTCATCATGATCGCTGAAACCAAAAACCCTATGCACTTGCTGATCACCGCCTCGGCCACCGGACAAATCAAGATCTGCCCACAAATCAAACCAATTGAAAAGTTTGAGAAGAGTTATAACTAAGGTTAGGGTTTTGGGGGGAAAGGGTACCGAAGGAGTCGGCCATGTTGAAATCGTAGCGGATGAGGAAGCCCTTAGAGGTGCCGAGGACTATGACGTCGTTGCCGGCGGCCATGGAGGTAATGACGCCGTGGCCTTTGGAGGCGTGGCCGACCAGGAGGTCGACGGAGAAGGCGCGGGCCGATGTGGGGTCCATTGGAAGAGATTGGATCGGATCGGATCGGATCGGAGGGATCGTTTTGATCCTTCGAGTCAAATAGTTTTTAAAAAGTACAGTTCTTTTGTCGAACGTAAAATTAGTTTACCATGTATGTCTGATCGCCGCCAAAAGAAAACCCTTCGCCGACGCCACTCTCAGCGACGAGGACAGCGATGCGAATGATTCCTCCATCAACAGGATAGAACAATCCAGCAAATGCTTTGAGGGACTGAAGCAGGATGGAGGACAAATTTTCAAAACAACCCTTTTTTAGTTTTAAAAATCGGCCCTTTTAACTTTTATTTAACATTTTATTTTCATTCTAGTTTCAGGGCCAGTTTGGATTTGTAGGGGTGAAGGTAAGTTAAGTGGGGGTTAGTCATCTAGAACTTAAAACTGGAACTGAGATAATTTGTGGGATAAATTTTTAAGGTGTTAGAGGTTTCTCTTCCCTTGGTTACACCCAATTTGGGGGTAACAATTTTTATACTATTAGGGTGACAAGGGATAGGGTGAATTAACTTCACCTCCTAAGTGTTCCCAACAAGGTGAATGGAGAGTGAATGGCTTCCCTAACTTCCCTTCACCTCATTCCCCTCAATCCAAACAAGCCCTTAGGGGGGGTTAGTCACCTAGAACTTTTTAAGTAAACTGTGATAATTTGGTAAAGTGGGATAATATTTTGGCAGCTGCAGTAAAATTGTGGAACCAATGTATGGGTAATCTTAAAGTGGTAATTTGTGTAGATAATTTGTGGTGGGATAATGATGGATCATATTATGAAGGTTGATGATAATTTGGCTAGGGATAATTTTGGTGGGGTAATGGTGGGTCTATAATTATATTTGCTTAATAATTTATATATTAAACATAATTATAATTTTGTAAAGCTAAATTCTAGTAATAACTATAAATATATAACATAAAGCATCAGCTATTCTCTCAATAATAAAATTATTCCCTTCCCTTCTCTTCCCTTCACTCAGTTTCCCTTAACTTCCCTTCACCCCCTACAAATCCAAATAGGCCCTAAGGGAAACTGAGAGAAGGGAAGGGAAGGGAGTTCCTTTTTCCTTTGTAACATCCCAATTTGGGGGGTAACAAATTTTATACTATTAGGGGGTGAACCAAGGGGAACTAGGGTGAATTAACTTCACCTCCTAAGAGTTCCCAAATAAGGTGAATGGAGGTGAATGGTTCCCCTAACTTCCCTTCACCCTCATTCCCCTAAATCCAAACAAGCCCTCAGTGAGCTAGTTGAAACTAGTTCGAAAATACTAGTGGTTCCGTTTGCATATCATGGTGTTTTTGCTAAAAACAAAACATCATGCGTTTGAAAACCATGATGTTTTTTTAGCTAAATCACACAACACTTATTTCAAAACACATTTTAAGTATTTTCTGCGTTTGGTAACCATTGCGTTTGTGCCGTTTTCGTTTTGTTTTTAAAAACAAAACAAAACGTGTTTGGGAACCACTCCGTTTTTTTGTCTAAAACACCAACAACCCCAAACTTTCATCGGGTTTCTCAAAACAACATAAAGGTGTTTTTGGTCCGTTGTTTTCATTCCTCCCCAAAAAAATCACCGCGAGCTCAGATATGGCCCTTGTCTTCCCCCAAACCCTCTTCCCCGACCGCGTCACCGTCGCCCAAACCTCCAACCCCGAGCTCGTCGCCGGCGCCCAAACCTCCCGTCCCCATCTCCGGCGCCCAAACCCTCGTCGCAGTCGCCGTCGGACGTCGCCCAGATCATCAAACCTCATCTTTGTCGCCCAGACCCTCCGATCTCGTCGTCGCCGCCCCGATCCTCCAGATCTCGTCGCTTCCAAAGAGCTAATCGTCGTCGACCAAGCTTCAGGCCGACTTCCACCATCGCCGTCGCAACCAGATCGCCGTCGCCAAGACCTGTAGAAGTCGTCGTCTCCCATCTTAACACACTGTAAGCATGTATACTCGAGCTGATTAATTTTTCGAATTTAAATTCTTGTATTTATTTTATATTTAGTAATGAGTAATGAGCAAAATGTTAATTTTGGAGGGTATTTACGCAAAAATCGTAGCTTTGGGTAATTATGAAGACGGTAATTATGTATCTGAAACACAGAGACTTTGCGCTGTGTATAACTCTTTTTGTTATTTCCCCAAAGTATTAAACTTCTAGCTTGTTTGGCTCTGAGATGTCTACTTAATTTCTTTTCCCATTTCCAAAATTTCAATATCTAGAGCAATTTTGTTGAGTTTGTACGAAATAAATTGTTTTAGAGGGTCTTAACAATGACTGAAGTCTGATATAAACATAGCTACCATTTTACTTAAAGAGCTTAGCATAAATAATCAGCTTATTAAACTGTCTTTCTCCCCTATTTTGGATCAATAATGAAAGGGAACAATCACACTTGTTATGGCGACACCGGTGGTGCATCGGCTAGTTGTCGCCGGTGACATCGCCGGCACCGGTCACC